AAGCTCCAAGCACCACTGGGTGTGGTCCAAAAACCAACCCAGCACCCTCACCCCCCCAAAAAAACCCCAAAGCAATACAAAGTTAAGTATTTCAGGGCTTAGATGATGGCTCACAGGTCAGAAGCACATGTTTTGCATGTAGGGTCCCAAGGTTTAATCTTTGGCACTACATGGTCTCCTGATCACTCAAAACCCAAAACAAAGCAAACCAAAGTTAGGCACCTCGTTGCATTATTTTCACCATCAGAATATATTACCAAACTGATAGCATAAGCAATACAAGTTTAGAACACTAGAATCCCATCCTGCTCGACACCAATACAGCCTGATTCCAAGCGAAATAATCACAAACTCTTTGAAGTAACCAGTCTCCAAATCCCTTGGTTCTAGCCACCAAGTTAATGAATTTTGTCAGTGCATATTTGTAATCATTGCACAAATGTGTTCACTGCACACCACATATAAAGGATGAGTTGAGGTCCTGGGGATTCAAAGTTTGAATGAGATAGATGTTTCAGTTTCACCCTAAAGTTGCTTCTCATCTGGGATTCAGGAACTGGACCAGGTGGTTCAACAGAATAGTCAGAAAGTGCTGGTGTGGTGGTGAGGAAGAGAGTTTGGAAACATCCCTTACAGTTCCTGGAAATTTTTTTTAAGTATTAATTTTTTAAAAAAAAATTTTTATTAGTGAGACATCATGAGGTACAGTTGTAGACTTACAAATTTTTGTGCTTGGGTTTCAATTATACAATGATCAAATACCCATCCCTCCACCAGTGCCCATTTCCCACCACCAGGGATCCCAGTATTCCTCCCACCTCCATCTTCCCCATCCCACCCTACCTCTGTGGCAGGGCATTCCCTTTTGTTCTTTCTCTCTTATTGGGTGTTGTGGTTTGCAAAAGAGGCAATGGGTGACAATCATGTTTGGTCTATAGTCTACTTTCAGCATGCTTCTCCCATCCTGGGAGGATCCTCCCAACACCCTTTATTTGAAATTCCCTTCTCTATCTGAGCTGCCTTTTCCCCTGGCGTGTGTAGCTGGCCTCCAAGCCATGGAGTAAACCTCCTGGTACTTATCTTGGCTATTCTTGGGTGTTAGTCTCCTATTTTGTTACTTTATGTTCCCCAGATGAATGCAATCTTTCTATGTCTATCCCTTTCTTTCTGAGTCATTTCGCTTAACATGATCCTTACCATGTAGTACCACTTGTATGTAAATTTCATGACTTCGTCTAGTTTCTGGAAATTGGAGGTTTCAATTGCTTTGGACCCTGAAGTTTTTTTTTTTTTTTTATGTGCCTGGATAATGTGTTTCTTTATACCTATGTACCTTCAGGGACCTCCTTCCTTTCTTTCCTTTTTTGATTTTTGGACCACATCTGGCAATACTAAGGCTTACTACTGGCGAGCTCAGGGGTTTATCTGGGGTGCCAGGGATTGAACCTGGCTTGGCTGCATGCAGGGCAAGCACTTTACTGACTGTACTATCTCTCCAGCAGAGGGACCCCTTCTTTTCAAAATGTGAAGTGTGCTGAATTTCAAACCCTTTCCCTTTCTTAGCTCCAGGGATAGCTGGCATCCTGGAGAAGGAACAAGCAGGAATTGTGAAATGGTTCTCTCACCCATCCATGAACTCACTCAAGCAGTTGGGAGTGAGAGTGGAATAGAAGGAAAGGAACCATAGATTCTAGGTAGGTGGGCCCCAAATCAGAATGGTACAGTATGGAGCAGGAAGTGAGTCAACACAAAAAATCAAGTTTATTAGTTATTAGTAGGGGGCGAGTTGTACCTCTATTCTTCTGTGAAAACATGCATTTTGGGCAGGAGGATTCATTCAATAAAAACTTGAGTGTTACAGGCTACTATCTTTCTGGGAACTGGAAATATACTCCTAAATAAATCATCCTTCCAGAGTCCTTCGCTGGCCTGCAATGTAGCTTAGTGGTAGGGTACTGAGGATTGATGCCCCCCACCCCCCAAACACACACAAAGGAACAAAGTTCCATACCTTCCTGAATCTTATATTTAACGGGGCCATAGATTTATTCTTCAAAGGGACTGTGGTGCAAAACAGTTGCTCAAGAAACATGTTAGTTAAGCTGCCAAATAATAAAAACATAAAAGCAAAACAGAAAGAAAAGATACTGATCAAACCTGTGGTCCTGTAAGTTGTGTACAAGAACTTTAGGGCACCTTAAAAATCCAGATGAGAGGATAGGGAAATGGCACGGATGGCTTGGGTGCATGTGGGAACCCCAGGTTTGATCCCTGTAACTCTTACCCCGGAACACCACAGGAAGTGACTCCCTTTACCTCCATCACACACCCCAGCACCACAGGGTGTGGCCCCCAAACAAAGTGCAGATGAGTGTGGAGGTGCCTCTGTGGCAGTGTGCAAGGGAGTCCAGGTTCCAGCACCCCAAGAGTCCATCCCTGGAATTGTGTCTGCGTGCATTCATGTTAAAGCTGGAAATGTATATTATGAAGATCCCATCTCTCTCTCTCTCTCAACGGTGAGAAACAGTTAAAAGCTTTCATGTCTGAGTTTCAGTCATACAATGATCAACACCCACCCCTCCACCAGTGCACATTCTCCACCACCAATGTCCCCAGTGTTAACCCCCCACTTTCCAACCCTCCCCTTGCCCCTCACTTTCCAACCTTCCACCACGGACAATTTCTCCCATACTCTCTCTCTACTTTTGGATACCACTCTTGAAGCAAACTAACTGCTTCTGAGAAAAGTCCCAGGCCATGGAAGTTTCCTTCATCAGAAGAGCCATGAAAAATTGGTCATTTCCTTCTGACAAATAGCACAGGGATTCTCAGTTCTGCATCTCCCAGGAGAGAAGCATCCACATTCTCCCCTTCTTTTAACAACTCAGAAATACGTCAATGAAAGCCAAACATATTTGAAGCTCTTAGGAAGGAGGGGTGAATAAAAAAACATCATCTAAATGATGGTGGGGCAGGGGGGATTTGAACCAAGGGTCTCCAGGCATGCAAGGCACCTGCTCTATCCTTAACCATCCCCCCCCCCCCACTTCCCACCACATTTTTTTTTTAATCACAGTCGCTTCTCTAGTCGCTTCTCTTTTCAACAACAACCCCGGGCACTTTACACATGTTTCCCCATTAACAACCGGAGAAACTTCGGAAGTGTCATCAAACCCTTTGAACAGTGGGAGAAACGTCACGGGGTTTGCTCGGAGCCACGTGGAGGAAACTCGCCCCCAAAGCCCGGCTCCCAACTCCGACCACCCTATGACTAGGGGCTGCTCTCCAGCACCTTCCACCGATCTTCGTGAGCACTTGGGCTCTCAACCAGAAACGAGCCGTCAAGCTACAGATCACCGAGGAAAGAACTTCTTGGGCGACTCCGGGCCAGCGTGACGCGGGGAGGCTGCGGAGCGGGCAGATTCGGGGCTGCCTCGTTAGGTCCGCAGCCGCCTCGCGCGTCCCGCAACTTCCCGGGCCGAGGCGGCGGCGACCCCCGGGCGGCGGATTCCGAGCCCTGCGGCTGCGCTCACGCCCCTCGGGCGACCCTGCGCGGGTGCGGGTCCCGGTCTCGGGCGACCCTCACCTGCTGGCCCGAGGGCGGTCCGAGGCTTCCCGGCTCCGCCCTGGGCTCGGGCGCGGGGCACCCGGCTGCCCCCCAACTCGGCTGCAAGGGCGTTTAAAAAGAAGCCGATTCCTCCGGGTCCCAGCCCTGGAGCCCTCGGGAGCCGCCCGGAGCCTCCCCCGCGCCCCCAAAGTCGGCTCCCAAGTTGAAGGGGCGGGTGCGCGCGTGTGTGCCAGCGAGCGTGTGCGCGTGCGGGCGCGCGCGATGCCCGTTCGGGGGCGGGGTGGGCGCGCGGCAGGGAGCGTCCAGCGACCTTCCTTCCCCCCAGGGTCCCTGCCCCGGCTGACCCCGCCGCAGGCCGAGCCCCCGCGGGGAGCCGGCGCGCGTCTGCGGGCCGCCGAGGGGGACGCAGCGGGAGGCGGGGGACCAGACGGCCGCGCTGACCGACAGGCTGGCCAGCCACTGGCCGAGGCGGCTCGAGGCTTGCGCGTGGGCGCGTGCGTGAGTGCGTGCGCCGGGCAGAGTGAGCCCCCAGCCCCACCTGTTTGAAGTGTCTGTTTTTAAAATAACCGAAGCCGTTCCTATTTCAAAACTTGCCAGCCACTTCAGTGTGTTACAGCGCGTGCGCGTCCCCCTCCCGGCAAAGGGATTTATTCCCCGGGCGGACAATGAAAGACAGGGAGGGGTCAGGGGGCTCCGAGGGGGCGAAGCGGCCCCTCGCCGGTCGGTTCTAGGACCCAGCGGGAAGCGCGCTGGAATCTCGCCCTCCGGGAGGGGGTGGGGCGGGCCGGCCGGCGGGGCCGCGGGGCGCATGCGCGCGCGTCCGCTCGGCCGGCCGCTGGCCTCCGCGGCGCGGAGTCGGATGAACTGTAACAAAACAAGCGGATTCTTTGTATCGGCTTAAAGGGGCCGCGGGCTCTCCCCTCGCTCCTGCCCCCGCCGCCGAGCGCGCCCGGCGGCCGCGTCTCCCGGGCTCCCAGCCACCGGCTGGAGGGGTCTCCTCGCCCTCTGAGGCCGGGGACCGACGGCAGGCGGAGGAGGGGGCGCCGCGTCCCTGCGAGGCCGGAGAGGAGGGGGAAATCAGCGGCGCCGGCGGCGCAGAGTGGACTCTGGTCCCGGAGGGCACGGTCGGGCGCCGCGACGTGGACGAGAGCGCCGGGATGCAAGCGAGGCTCGCCGGCGCCCGTGCGGGGCTCGCGGGGACGCCCGGAAAGTTTCTTCTGTGATGGCTTGAGCGCGCGAGGGCGTGCGGGGGAGCGAGGCTGCCAAGTTCCTTCCTCCGCGGCATTGCTGGGGTGGCGGCGGCGCGGGGGGCGGGAGCTGTCTCCCCCCTGAACCCGTGGATGCTTGGGGTTCTTTTTTGCCTGGGGGGCACCTGCCTGACCTCCGGCCGTTCTTTCTTCTGCGGGGAGGGGGAGGAGGGGTGCGGCTCGTCATGTCGAAAGTGATCCAGAGGAAGAACCACTGGACTAGCAAGGTTCGCGAGTGCACGGTGCAGAGGGGACCCCTGGGCGAGCTGGGGGTGACCGTGCTGGGGGGCGCGGAGAACGGGGAGTTTCCGTACGTCGGAGCGGTGGCGGCGGGGCTTCCCGGAGGCAGCGGGGGCCCGAAGCTGGGCGAAGGAGAGCTGCTGCTGGAGGTGCAGGGCGTTCGGGTGTCGGGCTTGCCTCGCTACGACGTGCTGGGGGTCATCGACAGCTGCAAGGAGGCCGTCACCTTCAAGGCCGTCAGACAAGGTAAGACGGGACGCGGCCCGGGAGGCGCCCCAGGAAGGGGCAGCGGCGGCAGGGCCCCCCTCCCCTCCGTTTCCCGCCCGTTTTCCCGCTTTCCTTGGCTCTGCGCCGCTCGGAGGGGAAGTTGAGGCCGAGCGCCCGCGGTGGTGCAGTACGCAAAGTTGTTGTGCGGCGGGGAGGCGTTTGCCCACCTGCCTGGGGCCGAGGGGGCGGCGTGTGCCAGCCGGGAGACGTTTTCCAGGCCCGATGTGCCAACCTGTTATCTCAGCCGCCAGGAGCCGCGCACGCAGCTTTGCCCAGATCTGGGGGAGAGTTGGGGAACTGAGGCAGGGGGCCAGGTGAACGCTCGCTCTCTCCTGGCGCCCTGGGGGGACGCCGGCAGCTGCTGCCTTCTTTAGCCAACTTGCTTTGTTTCTGGATCTGGAGAGTGGGCTTGGGCGAGGAGCGTCGTTGGCCTTCCTCCAGGCGAACACCGGCGTCAGCCCGCACCCCTCCAGGTGGGCCGGGGGATGAGCGCGTGGCCGTGCCCTAGCCTGTCTCCTGGGGCTCCTGGGTTCTCTGCACAGCTGGATGACGCACGGCTCCCCGGACGCCGGGGCAGGGAGATGGGTCATTTCTAGCGCGAAGGTATCCCAAGTTTACCCAAACCCCCCAAACCCCGCCCCCCGCCCCGCCCCGCAGTCACTGGTAATGAGACTGTTGTATTTGCACTGTCTCCTTCCAAGTCATAATTTGACTTGTAATAAACCCCAGCGAACAGATAAGGAAATTGAAACAGACAGTAAGTTACTTGCCCAAGGTCACGCAGATAATCAGAAGTGAGAGTTTGAGTCTTGCCTCCAGAGACTGGGAGGAGAGAGAGGTGTTGGGAAATGACCCTAGGGACCAGGCCCGCTGGGGAGAAGAAAGTGGAAGCAGATTCTTCCCGCTCATGCCTATAGGGGGAGGGGGGGGGGAGGCGAGGACCTCTTCCTAAAAGAGCTGTATCTCAGCGGGTGAGGGAGGTGGGGGTTCCTTTACATCTCAGTTTGGTGCTGCAAGAGACTGGCCCGTGATGGTCCAAAGAGGCGGGATTTTCTGAAAGGGGTCCCTTGCAGGAGTAAAGCCACGAGGCCAATTGCAGCGCCACCCCCACCCCCAAGCATTAAAGGAGGTGGCAAAGTTGAGCGTGGTGAAAAGTTACCATATGTGCGGGCTGGCCAGGAAGGGTGAGCAGCAGCTGGAGGAATGTGTCGAAGGAAAGGAGGACTGCGCAAGTTGAGTTGGTCCTCTCTTAGAACATGCCTATTCCAGATGAGGAGGAGGAAGGAGGGGTGGGCGGGTGGGGTGGTTGTTGGAAGTCCCTTTTGGATGCTTTAGGAGCAGAGGGGTTGACAGTTAGGAATGTTGCTTCCACTCATGACCCTGTCCTCCACTTAGACTCCTCTTCCAAGAAGCCCTCCAGCATCTTTCTTCCCTGGAAGAGCAAATCCTTCCTCCTTCGGGCTCCACTAAATGTGTACTTTGTTCCCTTCCCCCCACCCTTGCTCCGAACAGTGAATTATCACCCCTCTACTCTGATAAGACAGTAAACTCTTTAAGGCAGGCAGCCCCTCCTCTCACTTCTTCATTGCACATGTGCCCAGGCATTGCTTCAGGTCCAGCAGTTTGCGTCACCTGAGAATGTGACCACGGCTGTAAACTTGCTTTTTCTATTCGTTTTGGGGCCACACCCAATGGTTCTTGGGTGTTACTCCTGGCATAGTGCTCAGGGTTTGGTCCCCAGCAGTGCCTGAGGGGCGGGTGGGGTGGGGGGGCATCAGTTCTGGAATCAGTCCAGCCCTTCCACAAGCAAAACGTGCCCTCCCCCCCTTGAACCCTCTCTCTTGCTCCTAAACTGGCTTTCTTGCGGATATTACATATGCCGATAGGTGGAAAATAGACAGAACAGGACCTGGCACACAGTAGGTGTTCAGCAAAGATGGGCTGTTAATATTGAATTAACTAGAATTGGAGCAGTGATTTAATTCTAAGCTTGCTGAGCTTTTAGTGTTAACAGCGTGGTTTATAAATTTAATTCCAGAGCCGTAGTAGAGCAGGTAGGAAGGGACCTTGGCTTGCATGTGGCCGGCCCAGGTTCAGTGGCCCCATGTGCTCTCTCCAGCACTGCCAGGACTGACTCCTGAGCACAGAGTCAGGATTTGTAAGCCCTGATCACAGGGGCACCCCCCTCTCCCACACCTCCAAAAGAGAAAAATAGTAAAACTTTGAATGCAATTTCATCTGTTATTAGATCAGATAGAGATGTAGGGAGACGTTAAGACATTTGATTGGGGTTGGGGTGGGGGGTGGAAAGATAGTATAGCAGTTTGGGCACTTGCCTTTCATACAGCTGACCCAAGCCTGATCCCTTGCACCCCATATGGTCCCCCAAATCCCACCATAAGTGATTTCTGAGTAAGCCCTGAGAACTACTGGGGGTGGCCCTAGAAAAGAAGACAGAAAGTGAAAAAGCCAGTTGATGGGAGCAGTCTCAGTCCTGGCCTGGCAACTCTGGAGAAAAAACTGGCGGAAAGACGGGTTGAAACGCTTGCTCACCTCTGGCTCTGTAGGCATCTAATGAGTCCTCTATGTTTGGGGCCTGTCTTCGCTGTGCAGGACACTGCAAGTGGCAGAAGCACCTCCTCCAGCAGCTCTCAGAGGATGGAGTCGTTTTCCAGGATGTAGTTTCCGACTCTTAGAACTTAGGGTGGACTGGTCAAGTGAAATGGGTCTGCAGTGAGACCCTCTGGGATGGAAGGAAACTGGTATTTCTCCACCCAGAAATGCTCTGGATGCTGCACAGGTGACTGTGCAGGTGGACGTAAGCAAATCTGCCTGTTTTATGAGATCCAGTAAAGACATGAATGGGGACACTCAAATGTGCTGGAACTCCCCCTCCAGTCCCCCGGAAGCTAGCTGCTCTTCTGTGAACCCACTTAGCTTTTCTAGTCTCTTGATTCCAGTGAAGATGCCCCTCGAAAGCATTCCCCCAGTCTTCTGTAGATATTGTGTGGGGAATGTAATTTCAGTTGTCTGACAGATGTGTTCTGACAGTGTATTCATTATCTGTATTTCAGTCATGTCAGGTAGACTTATACTTGGAGAAGGAAAATGTGACTTTTGTCTTGTCTGCTCCCTGGCTGGCCACTCCCAGGGACTCAGGTCACTCTGTGTGCCATCTGTATGGAAATGTCACGGTCTTCTTGTGGGAGAAAATCCTGCTGTTTCTATTTCATGGCAGTTCTCTGGAAAGATGCATAGACCAAAATAGTCTGTAGCAAATGGTATTATACGGAGCAGGAATGAATTATGAAGAAATCAAGTCACACGGATTTACCAGGTTGGAGTTAGTTCATTTGAGACGAAGGCTATCACAAACTGCCCAATAAAATTATTGTATGCACTACATAAAATGTTATTTAATACATAACAAAGCATGTTGATATAACTTACCAGTATACATTTACCTATAGTAAAATAATCTTGTGAATTTTGACAAATATATACACTCATGTGCATTTTAATCCAGATCAGATCAGAGATCTGGGTACAGTGGATAAGGGGCTTGCCTTGCACACAGCCCACCCAGGTTCAACCCCTGGCCCCACATGGGGTCCTCCAGAGCCCTGTCAGGGAATCTCTGAGTACAGAATTAAGAGTAAGTGCGAAAAAAATCTCTTTTATTCATTCCTGAATCTGTTCTTTTTTTTAAAAAAACATTTTTTAAAGATTATTTTTATAAAGTTGTTCACAATAATTTATTATATTCATTATTCTAACACCAGTCCCACGTCCATTACACCTTCTCACCACCATTATTTCAAAATTTTCCACTGCCACCCAAGCCTGCCTCAAAGACAGATCCTAAATAATTTACTTTGTATTGCTTGCTATAATAATCTGCTAAAAAACGATCCAAAAAGTTTGCTTAGAGGAAAGTGTGTGAAGATTATATCCACCTTGGAATTTGATTGAGATTGGTTGCCTTCTCTGTTACACTCCACCCAATGTGGTATGCTGCTCCTGGTACATTAGTGGCGTAGAGTATGAGATGTTGCTCCAGGAATTCTAAAATTTTAAATAGGGTGATAAAGCTGGAGTTAAATTTTTAACTGGGTGATGACTTTGGGGTCTGGAGACAACTCTGTAGTTTGTTGCTCTCTTCTGAGATTTATTTATGATTCTCTGAATCCTGGCCATTAATGAGCTTGTATGATGCCAGAGGCAGTTCGTGGGCATAACTGCCAGGCTCCCAGGAGAACAGGGAGGTGAGGGAAAGTCACCCATTCCTGAATCCGTGCAAGCCCGGAGATTTCGGTCACAAAACCTGCATACCTGAGTTTTTCAGCAGATTCATTCTCATGCATGAGGGGCCCATCCTGAGTCTTGTGGAGATCGGCCATGAGCAGGTGGTGATTGAGTTCTGGAGGTTTTCAGCTGCTGGGGCTCTGTTGGGGTGGGTGCAAAATTTAAAAAAAGTCTTAACCCAGATCAAAATATAGAACATTTCTGTCACCCTGGAGATTTCCTATCATGATACTTTACAGTCAATTCCCCTCCCTTCCCTAGAGGTTGATTTGTTTCTTACAATGGATTAGTTTTATATCTATTCTTAAACTTCATGTAAATAAAGTAATGCAGGATGTGCTCTTTTTTTTTTCACTCCACAATATGTTTTGGAGATTTCATGTCATTATGTATATGATTGTCTTTTTTATTGTTGAGTAGTATTCCATTGTATGTATCTATCAGTTTTGTCTTTTTGGTCTTGTTTGACTCATTTTTAGCACAGCAGGTAGGGTGTTTGTCTTGCTTGCAGCCAACATAGCTGGAGCTTCATTCCTCCACCCCTCTCAGAGAGCCCGGCAAGCTATCAAGAGTATCTCGCCCGCACTGCAAAGCCTGGCAAGCTACCCGTGACGTATTCGATATGCCAAACACAGTAACAAGTGTTACAATGGAGATGTTACTGGGTCTGCTCA